TCATTTGCACCCCAGCCATGAGATGAGTGATTATGCTATGCTACATGCTCCCACCGTGAAGGCTGCCCCTCATCACAGGACTGAAAGCAGTGAGTCTGCCCAATCACAGAATCAAAACCTCCAAAACTGGGAGCCAAAGCAAACCTTTTCTTTTCATGGTTAATTTATCTCAGGCTGTCATTACAGCTATGGAAATCTAACACATCGTTTATTTCTGCTTTGGAGTGAATGCATTCTACAACAATCATCGCACATATTTTTCCCTCATCCTTTTTAGTGGCTACATCATAGTTCATTCTTGGCTATACTGTCATTTCTTTAACCAGTAACTTATCTATTACCTTTTCAGATTTACAATTTGTTGTAGATACATTTTACCATGTTTAAAATCATTTCCTTTGAATAAATTCATAAAAGTTGAACTTCTGCATGAAATGATAAATATTTTAAGTCTCTATATATGCATAGATGTTAACATGGGATAGGTAAAATTTTTAATATTTTTATTTTCAAAAATTGAATAGATGAAAATGTTATCATGATATGTATTATAACTTTTGCCACCATGCATAAGATGTTATTGCTACACTTATTTAGATCTAGGTGTTTCATCTGTAAAATAAGAGGCTTATGCTAGAACTTTTAAAGTGCCATTTCTAAACCAAAGAACTCATATTTCCAACAACTCCTGCATTTTCTAAGGGGCTGAAAAGTATATAAATACATCTGCTTTGTAAAAGTTATGACACAAAACTCAGCATAAGTGGAATTTTAGTAACCAGATTCATGTAAGTAAATTAAACTATAACATTGCTGCAGAAGTTTTTAATTCTCATTTTTAATAATTTTGAGCTCAGAATGGTATTTTTTGAAAGGGAGAGACAGAAAGAAACAAATACTCCTCAAGAACACAGTTTCCTTTTTACTGCAGACTGCCTTTCTGGTCTTCCCAGACAAGCTTCTATAGAAAGATGCTTATGTGCCATGCAGGTTTCACAGCACCCAGTTAGGCTCCCATGCCTCTCTGTGGACATTGCTGCACTACAGGGATTCTTCAGTTCTGTTGTTTATCTTGGGAACACCTGACATGCCTGGTCACTTTTTGTGAAAGTCTTTGTTTCTATGAAACACATTACTTGATCACTTCCTCCTCTTCTTTTACTACTTGTTCCTGCAAAGTCTCCAGAGTTTAGCATGAAGTTTCTCTGACATTTTTAATGCTCTCAGCTGCTTTAAATAGTTAAGAATCTTCAAACAAAAAATTAAGCAACTAGTTAAAAATATAGAAATGCATTCTTTTGTAAAGCCAACAATAATTGCTTTGGATCGTAGTTTAGCTCACTGATAGGAAAATGTGTATTGCCCTATACCAGTGGTTCTCTAAGTATGGTCCCTAAATAATAGCTTGTGCATCACCTAGGAGCCTGTTGAGATAGAACATTCTTGAGTCCCACCTCAAACCTACTGAATCAGCAACTTGTGCCCTAGCAAAGGCCCCAGGTAATTTTGATGCATGGTAATAGTTGAGAACCATTGCTCTACAATGCACACTTTTAAAGTGAGGCAAAAGTTTAGTGAATAGGATAACTGAGGGGGAGTCAGAAATAATTCTCTCTTTAAATAGCTGTGTGATGTTAAATTACAGATAAATTACTCCTAAGGAGATCAAGGGAAAAGGAAGGAATATAACAAAGGAGGAAACAAAATTCTTCCTAACTTGCCTGTCACAAGAAATGACAACTTACTCTGGTTACCATGGGAACTACTGTAGCCTTTTACTGCCACTGGTGATGTCCTGGGGATTGAAGGGGAAGCACTCCCTGTCTTTGTTGCCAGGAACAACCCTACTTGTCAGATTCACTGACCATAGTATAGATTCCTAGTTTTTACAATCACTTCATATATCAGTAGGCAGTAAAAAAAAGTGATCAAGTAGGAAAGGGAGTTAACAGATGAAAGGGAAGGAAATGTTTTTAAGTAGTCACTACTCCAGTGGTGACGGAAAGCCTGTTATTTGCCTATCCATCCATCTTTCTTTCGTTCCTCCCCATAACTATCCCTCCAGTCATCCATTCATCTATCTTTCTATTCAATCATCTACCTAGCTATCTACCCATCCATTCATCTGTTCGTCCAGAAATATTTATTGTATATTGGGTTGATTTCTCTCCAATATCCAATGAGGCTGGGCCTCATCAGAGATCACTGGCCTGTGGCATTTTCTTTCACATCTCCACTGTCTCCTAGAATGATTCACTGGAATGAAGGAAGAAAATATTAGACCTTTTATTTATATTTCTTAATTCACCCACTTTAAAAATTTCTATTTTAAGTGAATGTCTCACACTGAATGTATTATCCTAATACTACTGTGTGTGTGTGTGTGTATATATATATATATATATATCTTAAAATTATATGCTCCAAAAATTGCAATAAAAAAGTATGCAATCCAGTGCACTGAGAATCCAAAGACTTTTAGAGACTACTGAAATGAATAGAATCAAAATACTACAGAATAATGTATGAGAGACAAGTGCTAGTTTTGAGGATGAAGAATTTAAAAAAACAGTAATATGAAGTCAGGTAGCTACAAAACATGCCTACAACTCAGAGTGGATGTGTCCACCTTTGTTTTGCTTTACTCTCCATGTCACACATGTGACTCCTGCAAAGCCAGAAACAGGTGCCAGTTTTACCCCCGTTTAGTTCTTGTTCCACTTTCCAGAGAACCCAAAGGGACATGAAATTGAAGTCTAGGATTCAGGCCAAAATAGTAGATCTTTAAATAAATTCACTCCCTAAAAATATGTCCTGAACTTCACTGCACACAAGTGAAAGTACAGATTTCATTGCCTTCTATTTAATTCAACAATAATATAGAGTATGTCATTAATATAAATTGGTGTCCTACTCATGGCCAATTTGTACCGTCTTAAAAATTTTAATCTCAGCAAACCAGAGATATTTTTCCTTACAGACACAATTTTTTAGCATTTTATCAGTTAACAATACCAAGTGTGATAAAAAGTACAATATTTAAATTTTTCAAAATTTATTACAATAAAAGACACAGTGCTATTAATTCCCCTCCACATACTCTCCCCTTTCAACACACTAGTCCTATCATTCTTGTCACTTTTTGAAGCAGTTCTAGAAGCCCTCTTTCATGAGTGTCTTCACTTGTGCTTTTGTGGTTGCTGAATTGATTCAAAACATTTACCTTTTGTGGACATTTTTATTTTAAGGAAGAGCCAAAAGTTGCTCCATGCCAGATCCAGTGAATGAAATGGATGAGGACACAATGGACTCCTCAGAAATGCTTTTAGGAGCCTGATTTTCTGTTGGATGATACTCAACAGCAACATTTACTGTATTTTTATCACACTTCATAAAGACATGAAAGATGACTTGCAGAACAGCTTCAGAAAGTGTCAGGGATGATGGGATAAATGTATTCAAAGTGAGGGGCAATATCTTCAAAGCGATTAATGACAATGTGTCTTTTACTGTAAGAAATTATTTTATTTAAGTATATATTTAATCACCCCTTGTATGTTGCCATAATTTGCCCATAAGACTGAGTGAACATATGTCATTCTTTTTTTTATTTTATTGAGTTAACATATGTCATTCTTTGATATACTCTCAGACTTCAAAATTGGAAATTACTCTTCTATTTCAGAAGTACCAAAAGGTTTGTTTTGGCTACTTTTTAAAAGTGTAACCACTTTTTTAAAATTAGAAAATATATGAAAATAAAATTCTAGTGTTAATTGTTGTTGGGGGCCAAGCCTACAGATGTCCCTTTGCCTCCTCCCTACTCCCTTCTCCTCATAGACTAGGTAGTCAGTCTGTTTGACTAGGATTGTAAACCCTGGATGGCACAGCCCCAAGAGACAGTTAAAGTATGTATCCCTCTTCATTGGTACGTTTCTGCGCATGCCCCAATCACGAGACAATCACACTATGTTCAGCCTAGGCCACGTAAGCCATGGAGCACGTTACCCCACCTTCTCTTCCTGTTTATCTTACACTATAAATCAGGAGCACAGTGGACCCCAGGCAGCTATCAGCTTAACAAGCTATGGTTCCACCTGGTCCCAACTTTCATGAATAATCTTGGTTCCTTCGTTTTTTTCTTCTTCTCCCACCGTTCTCACTTACTTCAGACCCTATGCTGTTTGGATCACAGCAAATTGTGAGAGAGAACATAAATCAGATACCTAAACTTATCAAAGTGGAAAGAAGTTGACAATTTTAGCTCTCTCATATGCAGCTAACAACTGAGTGAGATTTAATTATTTGACATTTCCAAAAAAACCTAGAGTGTGCAGCAGCTTTTTAATGGCGAAGTATCTACCTTCAAAGAAGTTAAAGTCCTTCTGGGCACGGTGGTATGCTTCTGTAATCCCAGCACTGTGGGAGGCTGAGGCAGGAGGATTGCAAGTTCAAGCTCAGCCTGGGCAATATAGCAAGACCCTGTCTGTACAACACACATACATAGAGGACCAGAGATTAAGCTCAGTGTGTAGGTCCTAGGTTCAATTCCCAATACCAAAATAAAATTAAAATCTAGAAAGAGAAAGCAAGTTTAGCATACTGATGCTATATGAACGAATCATCATAGTTGTCATGCAATGACCTAGAAATGATCATTTCAAGGCTAAGCCCTATAGCCAATCCATGATTTCAAGTATTTATTTTTTGTTGTTGTTTAAAAAAATTAAAAATTTAAAAACAGATTGATAAAGACAGAAATAAAACTCTATAAATAGATGAATATATAGGTATCAATTTTTTAGAAAGATCTAAAGAATGAGTAGACCAAAGATGTGAATCAAAGAAATAAATATTCTGGCCCTCTGCATTAATAGAAGCTTATCTGTGGCAGGAAACTCAAGAGAAGTACTCATCCTTTAATGTGCATGAAAGAGTTCTTATTCACTGGGTTATAAGATTTAACAATTTAAAGAAATCAGTAGACATAGAACAGCTGTCTTACTTTTTATTAAACGGTAATAAATTTCTCCTTTTAAAAGCTTATTGTGCATACATTCAAAGATCCTCCCACACATACATTCACAAACTTCAAGAATAAAATATAGGTAAATGCTGAAGTAATTCTTAAATAAGTTCTTCGTTCCAAATAGAATACTTCTGCAAGTATTTCCTAATAGCATGTAGTACACCATTTCTGTTTGGGCTAAAATCCTCCCAAGCATAGTCTTAATTCCACTTATCAATCAAGTTTGAAAGAAAAAAATATGAAAATAAACCACATTTTAAAGTTGGCATGTTTCTTTCCTGTTGGAAACTGACTCTTTTCCAAACCTCTTAAAAATTTATTCTGTACTTTAAATTTAAATTTTATCCATGTCATGGCATTTTTCTGAGTAAATTCCCTCTATTGCTTATTTTTTGGTATTTTATAAACCCACAGTGATTAAATTTTTCTAGGTTGCTCTTATGTTTGTTGTTGCTAATATTACTATAATACAGTGTTTGAAAGTCATATACAGTTATGCCTTTCTAATCATTTAAAAAACTAAGTTCATTTCCTCAAACGAGTGATAACAAAGGTATGGAAGATGACTTGTACTAACATATTTTTAATAAAAATATATAAATATTTACCTCCACCCCTCCCCATCCCTCAGTAGGCAGAGGCCAGTTAGCTATATCTCAGAGGTGGTATTCTTCAAATCTCTTACAGAAGTGTATGTTTGCTCTCTGCCTTAGATCCATCTATCATATCAAGGGACCTGAGAACTACATTAGCAGCCCTTTAAAACTGACCTCAGTTCAAAGTTGTTGCTCAAATCCCACAGGTTTCAAGCATCCCACTTCCTCAGGGGGTTTCTGGTTTGGGTTTTAACTTTTCCCAAAGTAAATAATAATATCAATAATTAAATTCTATTGAAGCTTCCACAAGGATGATCCAAATATTATAATGCTTCACCCTCACCCCTACCATTATTGGCCATATGCAATTTTATGGATTTTAAGTAGTCGACTTCCTGTGACTGGACCCACCCAAGTCATACTTGACCTCCAAAAATTACGCACCCATATGCTATAATCTAGATAGTTCTTAAAATATTGGCTGGGTACTGAACAATCACTAAGACAGAGCCTTCCCTTGGAAATCCCACCCAGGATCAGCGTGGATTCAACCATTTCATTACAGGAGACTGAGCAGCATTCTTTTTCACAATCTCTTCTGTCACAGAATTTCCATCTCCAGATGCCATGTCATGATCTGAAATAGGAAGAAACACAGATCATATCCAAATATCTGTAACTCAATGATCAAGCACAGTTGTGTTTTGTTCTTTTGGTAATGAAATTTAAAATAAAAATTTTAATAGAGTCAAGATTCTATGGTAACTATATTAAACTACTCTGGATTGCTTAGCACCTTCTAACTTTGGTAAGATAACACCCTCTTAGATTATTTCACTTTGTTATTCATCATCACTTGGCATTATATTCTATGTGCGTCTTTCTTTTTTCTCTTTTTTTTTCTGTATTATCATATTCCTTTAGAATCCTAGCTCCATAAAGGCAGAGACTTTCTTTCATTTACTGTTATATTCCAGCACTTACAAGAGTCCCCAGAACTCAGTAGGCATTGATAAATGCTTATTCAATTACAAATACTATAATGGATCTCTAGGTAAGATTTTTATACTAACAAGTATAGAAGAGGACTCGCTTTTTGATGTGAGTCCAGAAGGTAGACCAAAGGGTAGAACTTTCATAAAAACAGTTCTTGCTTTACACACAGAAATACAATTGTAATGATTAAAATTTTCTAAACTAAAATTTTAGAAAGAGATGTGCTTGCTTTAGCACTGAGAACCCTGAAGGGGAATGATATGATTAGAATGTCCTGGCAGACAAGAACATACAGATTCATGAAACATTCCAGCTCTCGCTCTCCCCTCATCCCACTAAAAAGGCCACTTGTGAATTTATAGTCTTGGGACAAAATAAATTAAAAATTACCAACAAAATAAATAAAAAATTTAAAAATGAGACAACTAGGGTCAGGAAGCCCACCTGCCAACAGTGTTACAGCCAATGACAGGCAGAAAACTGGAAAGGAAAATGTCATGAAACCAGAGTATGAAAGGAACCTCTGGGAAACCTTATGATGGTGAAATTTGGAGCAATTTCATCTGCTCCCAAAGGGTGGGCGGGAGGAAAAATGTTTGTGTGGAGGTGATGTGAAATCTGTGGCACCACACCACTTCCTATAAACTCTAGTACATAGATCTGGGAAGTCTCAGGTCAGGTCAACTATGCAAAACTGAGTAGCGGACCCACAGGCAGCCTCTCCACCATGTTGTTAGGACATGCTGCCTTCCCTTCTGAACTTTAGATTAAAGTTTGCCAAAACCCTGGTCAGAAAAGGGAGAAAACCATTTTTCCCATAGATTTCTATTTCTTTCTTTCTTTCTTTCTTTATTTGGTACCGGGGATTGAACTCGGGTACTTGCGCTTTCAAGGCAGGCCACCGAAGCACTGAGCTAAATCCCCGGTTGTTTTTATTTGTTTGTTTGTTTTCCCATAGATTTCTAAAGAGAATCTCAATACCTAATTTTGGTATAGAAATATTTTTGTGTAACTTATAATGTAATTCCCACCAAGCAATACAGTATCTGTTGCCAAAGCATCTATATAGCAGCCAAGATATTTCATAATCTTCTAGGAAATTGGGGGGAACGATGGGCTCAAGCAAAAGAGACTACACAACAGTCCTCAGCAAAGAGACCAAGAAATCACAGGGCTGCTGTGCAGCAGGAGAGGCACAGGTGAGACCGTAGAAGTCCCTGCATCCTAGTGTCTCTAATGCACCACCACTGACTATTAGGAAGAAGCGAAGGAGTTCTCATACATTCCCCAGACACTCCATCCCAAACACTAACAAAGATTCACAAGAGATGCAAATGTCTCCTGGTGAGAAAGGTTTAGGTTCAAACTTCACTGAGAGGAGAGTAATGCAAAAGTTGCTTCTTTAAAGGTCTTTTTAGCACTTGATTTTAAGAAAGCAAAATGAGCTTCAAATATTGGAGGTAGCTAAAATACAGCAACAATAGCCTCAAATCTGGACTACACAGAAATAACCATTCAAGAGAGAGTTTCTAGGTCTCAGAAAACAGATCACTCAGGTTTCTGGAGAAATGTGAAGAAGACAAATAACTGCCTCATGGGTAGTGGATTTTCAATTAGAGCTAATGCAAATGCTCTGAAACTAGTTGAAGCAATGATTATACAACACTGTGACTATATTAGTTTCTCTGAATTGTTTGCCTTGAAGTGGTTAATTATATGAATTTTACCTGAAATTTTATATGAATTTTTAATAACTTCAGGAACAAGTCATAAGTATTTAAGATATTAATAAGGTCTCAGTTTTCAGATAAAATAATCACAAAGATATTCATCTAATAGGTTAAAAAATGATTTTCATATTATATTAATGTTTAAGGGCACAGCCACAGTTAAAACTACTAATTCACTGAAAAGCACATTTCCTCTTTTTCTTAAAGTGTTTACATCATTTATAAGAAGGAGGCAAAGCCAGAAAAATAAGCATATTTGTCAAATATTCCATATTTAAATTAATTAGAAATGCAAAGGACCAGAAATAAAAACTAAATAAAATAGAGTTGGATCACAATTTATATCTGAGGGAAAGATATATAGTTTGTTGATATTAGCAGTTACTATGACTAAACATTTTTTGGGAGGAGCTCCATTTTTAATTACTTAATTTAAAAATGTTCTATAATAATTGTATATATCTGGGATACAATGTGATGTTTTGCTGCAAGTGTCTATTGTAAAACTATTAAATAAAACAAATTAGCGTGTTCATCACCTCTCATACCATTTTGGGTGAAAATACTGATAGTCTACCCTTAGCAATTTGAAATGTGTAACACATTATTAACTAATTATATTCACCATTCTGTGTAATGGAGGAAATAGCTTTAAAGATATATGTCATTTTATATGTTCCTGTAGTGGTGCACAGCATTTCATATGTTTATTTATTTTATATATGTCATTTTAAGTGATACACTTTCAATTTGATAGAATTCAAAAAGCTTGGCCATTATCAACAAGATAAACAAATATGTGCATAGTGCCATCCTACAGGTTATATATTCCTCACAATCTCACAATCTGTGTAAGACACACACATGGATTTATAAGCTGAAAATGAATATAACTACAATTTCATTCATTTCCCAAATTTTAATCACAAATACTACATTTTTATCTTCTGCACAATCCATAAAAACACATACTTGGAATTATTTCATTTAAATGTTTTCAATTGTTTTTTTTTAAGTTCTCTTTTTTATCTTGACTCTTCAATTTTCTCCAGTAAATTCCAAACAGTACTTTTTTGGTGAAGTTGGACAAGGAGCAGTTTCATCTAGTAAATATATAAGACAGATCACTGAAGAATTTAAAGAACTTTGTATATCTCAGTGCGTTACTTTTGAATTACACACTTCTGGTAATCCATTCTATGTGTCCTTTGTATACCCTGGATAACTTTCTGAGAAATTATAATACATAGTCCTCAAAACTATTAAACTCAACTACCACCTATCTTTTTCCTAAGTAAAATAAAGGAAAAAAGAGTATTAAAATCAGCATCTTATTCTATATACACTGATACCTTACTCAGAGTAAGACTGCTATTGCAGATACCAGAATCTATTCTTACCTGTGTGAGAAACAAATCTGGTGGAAGATGTCGCTGCTGAATATTGGAAGAAGGGAAATGTCAGACACTTGCCCGTCACTCTGTCACACACGCCTGACTGGCAGTCGCAAGTCTCTTTGCATTCCATCCCGAAAGTACCGAAGGGGCAGTCTAAGAACAGAGGAAGGGTTGAGAGAGGGAGTTGCCCAATATGCACGAGGCTCCATCCTAGCGGCCCCTGCCTGATAGTGTTAGGATTTTGTTCAAACTCATGGACCTTGAATATACAATAAAACCCAACACTCAAAACCCAGATTCAGACTAGATAATTAATGGATGCCTCGGGATTTCTGTTATATTGTAAACTCTAGCTTAAAACAACTACTCATAACCAATTTCCTTGGACCAGTCTTAATTCTGTTTTCTGATTGGGTGTCTATAGATTCTCACAGGTTGCCTCTGAAACAGCTCTGTAACAGATGGAAATTGAACAGCTGTATGCATCAGCTCCTCATAGTATTTAAAATATAGGACGCTGTATTTAAATCCACTATATTCACAGACAATTTACTGTTTAAATGTTCAACAAAAGGCTTCAAATTAACCAGGGCTAAGAGAGCTATCATCCTGCTCACCATGAAGCAATCAATCCTCTTTTCTGCTCCAACTCTTTTGATGTTTTTATTCTGTCAGAGCAACAGTTCAGCTTACCTAACTCCCTCGACTATTAAGAGAATTCACTGGTAAAAATCTCTGCAAAGCCAAAATGTGAGGTGATAACTAACAAGAAAGCTCGGGGTTTACATACCCTGAAGATTAGTACACCTACCAAAAACTGGAAGCTTTTAAAGTGTCAAAGTGATTATACTTAGACTAAAACATACTACACGGAGATAAAGGGAAGAACAAAGCCATTTATTAAAAAGGATTGGTTTTTATGACACAAACAACATCTCAACAGATTAACCAATCTTTAAAAGACATAAGAACATATGCAGGGTATTTATTTTCTTGGCATGAAATTGTGACAGTAACTGTATGATCACATATGGGTAAATAAAAAAATTTTGAGACATCTGAATCTTAGCAACCCAATAGCCTACAGAGTGAGTGATCAAGATGGGTGTTCATTACCTATATTTTTAAAAGAGATTTAAAATTGCTTTTTCCTGCCATCCCTTGGATTAGAGAGACCCTGGTTTTTTGCACTGTCCTTTCTGCCAGGAGGCAGAGCCCTGAAGAGATCCTGAAAAAGCTCTCAGTAGAAAAGCAGAAGAGGACTGGAGTTGGACTTTATCTACAGTGAAACTTTAGTTTTATTGAAAGCTTAGGGCTGGAGATTTAGTTCAGTGCTTCTGTTTCCTACCTTGCAAGCTTCAAGGTCCTGAGTTGAATCCCCAATACCAAAAAAAAAAAAAAAAAAAAAAAAAAAAAAAAAAAAAAAAAAAAATTCTAGCCACATTCCAAGCTACACTTCTAATCCTTCCCCTGAAGTATTGAACAGTGCTGGGCTTGTAGTAAGTATTCAATTAATATGTGTTGGCTATCTGATTGTTATCTAGGTAACACAATTACAAATATCTGAATATTTAGAAAAACATCTGGATCTACAGCTAAAGTACTTGATGTTTATATGGGTATTCTGCAAAAAAAAAAAAAAATTCCAAGCTACACTTCTAATCCTTCCCCTGAAGTATTGAACAGTGCTGGGCTTGTAGTAAGTATTCAATTAATATGTGTTGGCTATCTGATTGTTATCTAGGTAACACAATTACAAATATCTGAATATTTAGAAAAACATCTGGATCTACAGCTAAAGTACTTGATGTTTATATGGGTATTCTGCAAAAAAAAAAAAAAAACCTGGAGAATATCTGTACCTAGAGAGTTGCTAACAAAAAAAAAAATCTTTAAAACTAAACTCATCAGTAATCTGAAGGATGCCAAAAAGAGCAATCCAAAATATATTCTTAAATATATCTCATTAACATCTACCTCAATCATTCAGTAGAATACTAGAGTATTAAAAATTTCAGATGCCTTACAGTTTGGTTCTTTATCCCTATGTAATTGTACATTTATAATAACATTTACACAGGCATTTTAATACTAAGAGTAAAAGCAATCCACTGTATATATTTCTATAACATAAACATGATTTTGTTAACCACCACTTCCTCCCTGATTTCCTTATGAAGAATTGTTTTCTTCTCTAATAAGCTCTGTAATGTACAGAAAATACAGACCTTATGTGGTTGAATGAAATATATGTGTGTGTGTTCATGAAAGAAAATGTTCCTTCAATATTCCACCTTATTGGTTATAAGTAAAATAATCTAAGAATAATAAAATTCTCTGAAGAAGTCAAGAATGTATTTTGTAACTTTTCATATGTTTTATAGATGACAAATGATTGATTTATAAATTATAAAATGGAAGAACTCATTTGATTATCTTAATATGGGATACATTCATTCATAAAAGAAAACAGTTGTATTAAAAACATAAAATATTAAAATTATTTAGAAATTTCCTGGAACATTTTACCATTTTGACAGCTTCTTGGCATTATAAAATTGATGAATGGCATTATAGCATCTGTTATATCTTAATAGTAGCTCTTAATGACGAGATTGTAGGATATCTATATATTATTTTTAAATCACCATTCTTTTAAATCTAAACATTTTAAGTGTTAAACATTTTAAACTACAGTCACTAAGTTTCAAATAAATTCTACAGGTGTTTTACTGTATCATTTAATTATAATTTCAAAAATTTCTGAAGTTTTCTGTAAGCCTATGAAATAACCAAACTTATTCTTTACTGATTTATATTTCTTTCCATTTATTTTTGCTTATCCTACACCACCTATTAGTTTTCTAGTAGCCAAATCCCTTATAAACCGGAAAGAAGTTTGTTTTGGACTTCAGAGGACTTTTTTGCAAGAATATGAATTGTTCTGTTAGATGACTTAAACCCACTGTGTTCCATAAAATGCATTAGTGTTCATCAGCAAGACTCAAGATGCTGATCTTGAGAAAGGCTGTCCATCCTATGACCCTTTCAAGATCAAAGCACAAATCCAGGAGCTAGAAATGACTCCAAAAGGTTATCTAGGGGGAACCTCTGTAATCACAGCCTTGCAGAAGAGTGAGCACCTAAATTATTCACAACAAATTACCTGTTAAATTACTAAAGTTTTCCAGAAAAAGAGGCAATACGATATTCCACTTCAACTTTCCTTCTAAAATCTCCTAAACATAATGTGTGTGATGCTGCACTTTCTTCTGTACTCTCTGAGCATCAGTTTCAGTGACTGTTTGCACAACTCTTCTCCTAGCTCTAACTAGAACAGCTGCATGAGACGTGCATTTTCCCTCTTAGTCCAGAAGAGCAAAGCCACCACCTCCCAAGCTGGCTAAAAGCCCTCAGGGAGCCCTGCACGGAGGAAAAGCAAGGGGTCACTCTTTACCTTTGCAGATACCAAACTCGTCACCAAAATCATCTTCCTCACTGTAAAATTGACACCTCAGCCCTGGGCCACATTTCATGCCATCCATGCCTGAGACTGTGCGGTAGCAAGTTTCTCCCAGCCCTGCAGCGCACACCTGGCAGCAGCCACAGTCATCCAGCACTGTCCTTTTGCAGCGCTGGTTGCTTCTGCACTCACTACTGTCACAGTGCTCTGGGCAATCCACTGCATACTTGGTGCTCCAGGCCATGGCCAGGTGTGCAGGTACAAGGAGTGTGGTCAGCAGCAAGAGGCTCTTCATGTTTCCCAGCTGGCTCAGGTTCAGCTCCCAGTGTTGTGGTCTTCACTGTGGGAAGCAGCCGTCCAAAGTGGTAGCTGAGCCTCTCTGCCTACACGTTTATCAGTTTTATACACTGGGTTGCCTGTATGCTTCCCCGTCATCAATTTCCTCAGCCCAGCGGCAGCGCTGTCCTCCTGCCAGCCTCTCTTGTTTTAGTTTATGAAATCCAGGATGAAGGCTGGATTAACACGCTGCTGCCATCCAGGAATTGAAAAGCCCAAGCTGATGTCATCTGTTATGTTTAGATGGTTGTTTTGCATGAAGGCTGAAAAACTCACTCATATCCGTCTCAAGGGCTCAAGGACATCTGTGAAGGGGGAATAAAGAAGGTCACATGCCCCCTTCAGGACAGGAATTGTTCTGACACCAACATATCACTTGGGGTGTAGCATTGTCTCAGAGTCTCACAGTCAGGAAGAAAGTGATAACGACATGAATCATCAAGACTGAAGAAGCTTCTGCAAATAATAGTAATAAGCATTTGGTATTTCCCTGCAATAAATAGCTATGAGATCATCTGGAAGAAAAAGTTGTATTGCGACTTTTCAATACTTAGAAGAAAGAAAACATTCTGATAGATATTTTTTAGATATCCTTTTTTCCTTCCTCTTACTATCCCTCCCTCCTCAAATGTTATTTCTAAAGTAAGTCACATCATATATATCTAAGTCTATCAGGCATGTAGCTGTGTTTCTAGTAAGATGTGCAACTGATGCTGAGGATTTGCTTTAAAATCAATACAAAGAGTCACAAAAGAAGTAAGATCCTACTGGCACTGTTTCTTGGTTACTTGGTTCTGGAAAAACTTATCTGTTGGATTTCTTCTCATGCAAACCTCCCTGGAGAAAAGGCTCATCCATCACCGAGTCTCCTTGTCCAATGATGGAGTTCACTCAGAGCCCTTCCCCTCACCTCCTGGAATCTATCAGATGCCTTGCTAAAACTGCCAAACAAGGCAACCAGCCCAAGGAAACAAAAGAGCCAGCAGGGAAATAGGAACACAGCCCTAGAGAGGCAAGTCACAGGGAAGGGAAAACCCATTTCTGTTCAGGAAATAAGGTTTTCATGCTATGGATAGTCACAGGGTGTGTATTCCACTGGGGAAAACAGAATAGCTCCCTTAAAATATTGACTAGACCAGGGCCTTATTAAGTTAGATTTTTGGGATAGAGAGAACAAGATGAAAGAGAAGAAAGGGAAATTCTTACATGGATTGTAAGGCCCCCAAGCAATTTGTTAAAATAGAAATTAATCCACTATCATTTGGTAAATAAACAATCCAAAGTGAGTTACTCTTGGTCACAAATTAGCTGTGGGAAATCCACAGGACTTAGCTTCCTCTTTTGAGAATTAATAGTGTTAGGCTAGTAACCTCTGAAATCATTGTGCCTCTGGAGGATAAAGAATAGACTCTACTGGATGTAATTTGGTGACTGACCTTTGCAAGTGCACTTTTAGGGGGATGAGCCAGAAACTAGAGTGCAGCGAACTGGGGAGATTGTGAATGAAGGCAAGAGTTTTAGCCTGCAAATTTCCCAAATTTTTCATGACAATCCAATTTGGTGTACTCTGTATTCACCCCCCAGATGCAAGTAGGTATGCAGCAAGTGGAACAGGCTGATATTTTTTTCAGCAGCAGATAACATCTATTGAATACATGTAGTGTGTGCCAAGCACTGTTCTTACCCATTTTACAGGATTAACTCACTTACTCCTCTCCATGGTATTATGAAGTAGCTGTGGTTGTGTCATTTTTTTGAATGAGTAAACTGAGTCAAAAAAAGGTTAAATAATTTTTTCAAGACCCCAAATATCAAAGATAGTCTTGAATCACATCAGTCTAATATTAAAGCCACAAATTCTATTGCTTATTACAATGCAATCATGTTTCCACGGCCAATGACTCCAGAAGCCTGGTTCATAATTTAGGTCTGCACAGGAAAAGGTTTTTTTGTTCAAACTTTGTTGAACACAACTTTATGAGAAGAGAGAGGTTAACCAAGCTAGTGATTAATAATAACAATCTTTGTACAGATCTTACAATGGGTACGGTACTACACTAAGCACTTTATATAGATTACCGCATATTTAACTTTTGAAGCAACATCAACAGCTATTTACTATTCTAGCTCTATCTTAGAGATGAGAAAACTGGTGCCTAGAGATGTTAAATAATGTATCCAACATCACACATAGAAAATGATGAAACAAGAACTGCAGTCCACCAACAGACCCTGGAGACTAGTATAAGGATTTCAAAATCAAATATGTGCAGGTGACACAAAAGTGACCTAGGTGGGTAAAGTGGCAAGCTACTTCAGATATAACTCAAAAGTCGTATTTTATCCCTTAACGCTTCTAAACCATATTGTCATCTTTTGTACACTTGGAACGCACACAAAGTCATTAATACAATGGAGCACAAAGGTAGATGAAATTGAGAATAACTTTAGTAAATTACAAAAAAAAAAAAAAAACCCAGAGAGATGTACACTGAGGATACCAAACCCATAACGATAATCCAAACTCAATACACAGAAGAGTACAAAAAATATGATCAACTGAGTTCATCAGTGAAAGTGTATCAATGAGTTATTTCAAGGGAACCATCAATTTCTTCAAAAATCCAACAAAATCCACTTGTCCCTAAGGGACATCTCTAAGGGAATCTCTAAGGGATTTTTACCTAGTTGTATTTCTGTTTTCTCCAAACTTGGGCCCACATCAATAAATTTCACTAGGAAAGTTAGGAATGACCACACAGGGTTAGGAAATGGAAGCAAGAGTAACAACGGAATCAACTTTAATCTGCAGCCAAAGGGGCAGTGGTAAGCAGAGGAGGCGGGTAACATAAAATCAAAGCTATCCAAATTAGGTGCACATAGTTCAACCTGGTTGGCTTGCTTTGTGCTAACGGGTAGCACATCTCTAACCTTTCTCGATCTGTACATCAGTTCTCACATTAAAAAGCAAGAAAGAAAGCTTTCACATTATCAAAAATGGATGTTTGTGCTAAGGTGGATGCCTGAGTTGCTTTCTCAATGCTGAGACGCAATATGTCACAAACACATCTTAAAGAAGGGAGGGTTATTTTTGGCTCACATATTCAGTTCCAAAGGCAAGAACAGCATAGGGCCTGCCATGGAGGGAAGCTTGTTATGTCATGACTGCCAGGAAGTGAAGAGCAAAGGGATAAGCCAAGGAAGGAGCTATACCTTTCCAGGTAAAGCCCCTAGTGAACTGCCTATTTTGACCAGGACCCACCTCCTAAGAGCACGTTTAGCTAAAACTTATCAGTGGACCAATCTTTTGAAATATGTAATACTCCCATGATCCGATCTCCTTCCAAACCCATTGGACTTTGGGGAGGACATATCAGATCCAAACCGTAATATTCCACTTCTGGCCCCCATGGACTTATGTACCACTCATTATGAAATATGCATGTAGTCTATTTCTAAGAGTCCCCAAAGTTTTAACAATTCAAGCATTGCTGAAAAGTCCAAGTCCAAAGTTTCCTCTGAGACTCAAGGCAAACTCTTAGCAGAAAGCTCCTATAAAAGTAAAAAAGAAAGTTAAACATGGCAGACACACAGTATAGGACTAGGCAGATAGAAAGAAATTGGACCAATGCAAGAGCAAAACCTAGCAGGGCAAATATTAAATCTTATAGCTCCATGGCTAACATCTGAGGCAAGAATTGGAAAAATATGAACTCCAAAATTTTAGGTATCCTCACTCCTACATAATTGCCGTTTGCAGCCCTCATGGCCTCTCCCTTTGTGTGGTTTACCTCACTGACCACAGCATTCTTTAGCAAATGTCCAAGTCACTGGCAATTCTTACTTTCTGGGGTATCCACTAAATGTTCAACTTCACTTTCACAGCTTCGTGAACTGCCCTCTGAGGGGCACACTGCCTTCTAGAATCTGGGTGGAAGCCGCCATGATACCACAACGCTTGCATTTAACATGCCTGTAAAACCAACACTACATGGATGGTGCCAAAGTCTGCTGACAGCTTGAGCAGTAGCAGAGTTCCTCTGAATCTTGGCTGCAGGACCCTCTGAGTACCTACAGGCCTACGCATTGGGATCTGAATCACACGGGACTGGCCCTTCTCCACCACAGCACCCTGGGGCACTCTTCTCAAAGCAAAGTCTTTCAGTGAAATTTACCTTTACTGTTCCATAGCTTGAGGCTTCTAAACCATATTGTCAAGTAGTCACAGCAGAGAAGTGACCTCACTTCTCTGACACAAAAATATCTTAGTCACTTTTTTGTCACTGAAAGACAGTACCTAATACTACCACAATACATATTCTAGTTAAAGGGCAAGAGATGTATTTGGGTTCATACCTTCAGTTCATGGTCATCTGACTCCAAGGCATGAATGGCAACATGGAAAGGCCTCCTACAGAAGGAAGCTTCTTACATCTCTGCCAACAGGAAACACAGAGAAAAGAGAAGAACTAGAGAAGAAGACCTTCCAAGCCAAGCCCCCAATAACCCACCTATTCTAACCAGACTTCACCTCCTAAGAGTACATTTAGCTATAAACTCATCAGTGGACCAATTCACCCATGAATATGGCACCCTCATGATCCAATTACCTTCCAAACATGAGGTTTTGTGGTAACATTTCAGGTCCAAACTATAACAGTAGGTCAAACAAACCAACTCTGGGTCCCAAAGATATATCAAATGGTCTTCTGAAGTGGGCAGAGATGATAAAATCAAATAGCTCTTCAACCCATTACACTCAGTACATTTTAAATGTCGCTGTGATTTTTTTTTTCCTTAAACTTGATATTGTGTCGACCAAGAAAATAATCTTAGGTATTGGGCACTGATATTTTGCGCTTTATTTTGAATGTGTTGTTTGCTTTTAAACAAACAACAAGCAATCCACTTTCTGGTACCCCTTCTATCTCCCTTACACATAAGGGAGGATAAATAAATTTTTCCTACTTTAAAAAAAATAATAACAAGGATTCACTTCTGGATAGGCACAGATGATACAGTCAGAAAATTTCTGGAAAGGTTCCACACCCTCAGTAGATGATTCATAGTCAAGCCAATTGTAGCACATTAGCTGTGCCTTCCTAACAATCTCTGTAAGACTAATTTAAATTGAATGACAAAGCAGACTTGAAGCAAACATTCCCAAGGATCAAATGGAGACATTTATAAGAATTTTTTTAGGTATACAAGATTAGGTTTTCAATTTAGTTTTGCTTTTATTTTTTGGATAGCATCTGAAGTTCTTCCTAATTTGACACCAACTAT